ACAGCCGCTCGCTCGGGGGCAGCATCTTGAGCAGGGAGGTCCAGACATCTCTCTCCACCTCTTCTGGGATGACTCCAAGGTGTTCCCAGGCCAACAGAGAGACATGGTCTCTCCAGTGTGTCCTGGGGTCTCCTCCCATTTGGACATACCTGAACAACCTCAACTGGCTCCTCTGGATGTGGAGGAGCAGTGGTTCTACTCCGAGTCTCTCCTGATAACTGAACTTCTCACCCTGTCTCTGAGGGAGAGTCCAGCTCTGCAGAGGAAACTCATTTCAACCTCCTGGATCCATGATCTCATTCTTTCAGTCTCTACCAGAGTTCATGACCAGAGGTGAGGGGAGAAACGTAGACCGACCAGTAAACAGAGAGCTTTGCCTTACAGCTCAGCTCCTTCTTCACCACAACGGACCGGTACAGAGTCCAACACTGCAGACGCTGCACCAGTCTGTCAATCTAACGCTCCATTCTTCTCTCACTCATGAGAACCGCTCCAGTGAGAGATGGAGATCACGGTACGATGACGCCAACAGGACCACATCATCTGCAAAGAGCAGAGATGAATCCTGAGACCACCATACTGGACTCCCTCCACCCCCTGTCTGCACCGAGAAGTTACGGGCAGCCCTGGAGGAGTCCAACCCTGAAGGGGTCCGACTTACTACCGGCTACACCGGTAGTATCAAACTAAGGAATTTTAAATTAATTGCCATAAAATCTTTCCAAAACGTTGGGAAATTTGCAAATAGTTGCATTCTGTTTTTATTTACGTTTTACACAACGCTCCGTTTTAGACGTTAACCATAAAATCAATTCATGCTGTCACAAAATGCTTGCGGGGATGAATGTGAGTGAGTAGGCATGCGTTCATCCATGTGTGAGTGGGTGACTTGGGCCTGTGAGTGTGTCCATGTGTGCCATGATTACAAATCTGCTTTCCTTCGATGGATCACACTTCGTGAGCGCCCTGAATGCTGATGGGCAGCCGGTGGTGCGAGCGAGACGTTTGGTGATTTGTGAATTGATTCTGGATTTACATTTAGCAGCCTTTCCTCAAAAAACAAACTCAACAAAGGGAATAAAGGATACTTGTTTCACTTTACAGGCTTTGGCTTGATTCAGTTTTATTCAGTATTTTCAAGATATGCAAATGTGATGCAAATAAAAAAGTAAAGTCTTCGGATTTCCCGTAGCAAAGATTGTGTATGAACCACTCGCACTTGGTATATTTGACAGGGATGACTTTGTAGCAACGTTATAGCATATGTGTGTTTGATAAAATCATTTGTTGTAGCTGCCATCTTGATTTAAGTTGACTTCAAACGTTAACCAGTTGTAGCGTCACATACAGTGATTCCTTCCCAAGAGTTTTATTTGTATATTTCTTATATGAGATATTTTTCTAACAGACAGAAGAACGCAGTCACGATTGCCCTCCTTTCACAGCAGCAAGCAATAATCGCTCCATAAGTGTTGCCGTTTTCAGCACAACTTCTCCGCGTTCTTCCTGCGCTACATCTAGCGCCAAATCCTTATCGTTACTTTGCAGCCGTTGATCCCATTTTCAAACTACGTCTACAATCCTCCACTCGGAGAAAATAACTGGCGCTACAACCAGGTTTGAGCTTGTTGTGTTTAAATGTAGCTGGTGAGCAACAGAGCTGCGACATCAGGCCCATCTGTCTGAACAATGTGATGCCTTCGGCGAAAAGACTCACGCCGAGGAGAAGAAAGTGAAGGGGAATGATGATCCTTGCCACCCCTGGCTGCTATTGTTCCTTTCCTTCCTTCCTTCCTCCCTTTCTTCCTCCTCTTCCCTCCCTTTGAGCTCATTTTTCCTCTCACCTGTTTTATAACCAGGACTGAGAGCAGCAGGTCCAACTCATCACACTGTACAGCAAAAATCAATGAAAGAAATGGGGAACTGTGTGTGTGTGTGTAGGAATAAGGCAGTGCATTTTAGAGCAGTGCTGGCTCTGAAACCTCCGTGCCATCGTTATCAGACATATCAAAATATTTTGCACCTGAATATTTTCTTCTACAGAGGTGCTTGTGGATGTAAAGGCAACAAATGAATAAATTCCTTGAAGGACTGCACGTCACTCGCCACCTTCATTACCAGAGTTATGGACTGAAATCATACTGAGAGGTGTAGACATTCAGGTCAAGTCTTGTGAATGACTACAGTACATTCATGACATACAGTGTATGTTCATACACATATGTATGTCATACAGCATGATGTGTTAGAGCTCAGAGAATATGTTGAGAATGAGTCTCAGCTATGACCACATTGAAATTTAGCTCAACGTCACTGACTAAATTAAAGCTGTTTTTAGGGTCAGATGGCTGCAGACGAGAGCCTGGCTGTCTCTAAATTGTTACAATCTGTCAGAGTGAAGGAAATGTGCTGGGTATCAGTGTCAGCTACTACCACCCCGAACGTTAGACTAGTGTCTGTAAAACTGACCGAGCTGCAGCCATTTTTCTTTGCTAAGTTCGGCCATCTTGAATCGTGTTAACTACAGTAGTTAATCACTTGTACTGTATTTTCCAGCGTATAAGTCACAGTTTTTTGCATAGATTCATCAGTCCTGTGACTTGCATACGTTTTTTTTAAATATTCATAACGCAATTTTTGACTGACGCTTTAAATTTCAAAGAATTGCAACAGCGGGTCCTCCCGTGCACGGTCGCTTCACTCAGCTGGTGCAGGCGGAGGAACGCTGGAGAGCTAGCGGCTCTGGCCGGGATGGATGGATGGATTTCATTCAACCTTTATTTAGACAGATAAGTCACTTTGAGCCTCGAAGACTCATTTACAAGTGAGATCTGTTTAGACAGACAAAAAGTAGTGAAACTGGACGTAGGAATTGGAGGCGAAAAAAAAAATCCTATCAGACGTTTTCTTCTTGGCTGAGAAGAAAATCTCTGATATTAAACATCTCACACAAACAAGCACACAGTGACATAGACATTGTGTGGGGGGTGGGGGGGAGAGACGACGACAGCGGTAAGCAATGTCCATGAACGCTCTCGAGAGCACTGTAAGAATTCTGATAAGGATGGAATAATCAGCCAGTGTCCTCCGGTGAGATCCATAAACATTCTCGAGGGATGTCGGGGAATGACCAAGGTTAACGCCTAAGGGAATCCAAGAGTCCTGAAATGATGACACAATGTTTAATCAGCTGGTTTCCTTTTTGTTGATCAGTTGGAACTTCTTCAGGAGGGGTGTGAGCATCAGATCACATGTTCTCCAGGCAAATTCAGATAAGAGGACCTTCAAGGCCAGCCAGGGAGCCAAATTCAGATAAACACACAGTTGTTTTGGGGACAGGCAGAACTTAATGACATCTACCTTGAGTCTGTGTTGGTCCACTCGGTTCTGAAATGTCCAAAATACATGGCCACACCGATGGAACGTGACTGAGAAAAATCCCAGAGATCTGATCCATTCTGCCCAAAGCATTTGAGTCTGGGTACTCGAGACACGAACCAAGCCATCATAAAGGCAAGCAGAGTGATCGGGTCCAAATTTGCTGCCAACAACTTTCTTGATTGTAGATAAACCAGCAACCAGCCGAATCCAAAAAGCAGGAACCAGTTATTGTAAATCCAATTAAATATGCGTCCTTAAAATCCACAGATGGCAGCAGAGATAGACACATCATCAAGTCTTCAAGACGATGAGATATCCAGCTGCTTGTGTGCCAACAGGGCAAACTGACTCGCCTAAAGCCCGTCTTCTCTTCGAAGAAATGTTATCAATTGTGTTGAGGGACCAACTGATCAAAACTAGTCCATAATTATGGTTCAGAAGATGCAAGCAAAGCTCAGAAGAAGTTTCACAGACAGAGCAGCAAAGCCAAGCGGAGAGGGAGGGGAAGGGAAAAGCTTCCGACTTCGGCAAGAGCAAGTGGTGGATGGATGGATGGTGCCATGCCACCCAGGTGAAATGACACGACGGGTCAGCAGTGACTCATAATAACTGCAACTTGTATGTTTTTTCCTCTTCATGATGCCTTTTTTGACTGACGCGACTTATACGCTGGAAAATACAGTAGATGTAAATTAATTTCTGTAAGTTTCATTAAGACACAATCAGCGTTTCTTGAGATGTTTTGGTAAAAACATTATCGCCTCTTGCCTAAGGCTCTGATAGCAAAATTATTTTTATTCTCACGTTACACATCAAACGTTGATTCCCTCCGACGGTTTTCTCAAATGGACACAAACACTCGACTTCACAGAGTTTCCTGAACCTCATCACAGAGAGATTAACGTTCACCCAGTGGAGGGGCACCAGAACGACTCCCAAGGCTTTGGACAGACATGCATGAATAAACACACATGCGTGCACGCGCACACGTGCACATTACACAAATGGTTCATTTGCAAATGCACCCAGCTGCAGTGCATTCCCCTCTGCTGTTCCTCTAACGGCTTTTTGTTGTCACATAAATTATATCCGGTTTCGTCTCAAGTCTTGATATTCTGCGAGAATGTGAATTGGAGGGGAAGAGAAGAAAATAATGCAAATTTTAAAATATATATTTTTGACACGTCAATATAAAAAAAAGTAAATAATTTAAAAACATTTCTAGTAATTTTTTTACAAAATAAAATTTGGTGGTTTAAATGAGATTCCCAAATCTTCTACCTCATTTTTGATTTGTCTGTTTTAAATAGTTGGTTTTATTTATTTATACCTTTTTTTAAAAACATAAAATGTGGAATAAATCTGCATTTACTCATAAAGAAACACAAATTCTTTACAAAATCTCCTAATAATTCTTAAAGGACACACCAGTCTGCCTTATCCACTCTTCCATTCACCTTTCTGCTCTCATCTGTCTCCAGCCCACGTTCAATCATCACCTCCAAAAACAACTCAAATCAACCCTGCCCTCTTCAGCATCTCCCGGTCAGTCGTATCCAAACGTCTCTGCCGTGCGCCCCCATTCATTCCTCCAGTCTGTGCTGAGTGCGGACACTGACCTGCCCTTCTGGCACACCGAGCAGAGCCAGTCTTTGTCCCTCTTGCTGAAGGTGCAGCAGCTCTTGCACACGTTGTACCGGCAGTCCAGGCACTGGCGCTTGGGGTTGAGCAGGAAGGTGAAGGGCACGCAGCAGCGGATGCAGCAGTGCTCGTTGAAACGGTGCTGCTTGGAAAGGATGGAGCATCTGCTGCCTTCCTCCGCAAGCTCCTGCTTCATCTCACTGAGGGGGAGAGAGAGAGGGAGAGAGGATGGGAGGAGGTGAGGGAGAGATAGCAAGAGGGTGGTGAGCGTCTGGTCGAGAGGCAGGGGAGGGGAGAACCGACACAGCAGGCGATACAGAATAATTAGAGAAGCTGCAGTAAATGAAAAATTCAAAAAGGATGCAGGGCATTAAAACAACACAGAGGAGAGCAGACCGATTGAAGAAACTTGTTGAAACTATAAAATCAAACATAAAAAGATTGTCTCGAACTATATCAAACGGTTTGAAACAGTTCACGTCAATATATCGCCTTATAATCCAGCTGTTTTTGTTACTTTTTTGCCATTTTATTTGTAAAAAATAAAATAAAAATCTGTATGCCTTTTTATGACTGTCCATTGTTGTCATCTTTCTTTGTTAAATCAGGTCTCTCTTGTAAATGAGTCCTCAAGTCTCAATGGGATTAACCTGTAGAAATAAAGGTTGAATGGATATCAAGGTTCACGCTCAATAATCCAGGTAAAAAATCCAACAAAGTGAAGTCAGGTCCTCTGGACGGTTTCTTTTTGTTGAAACGTTTCGTCTTTCACCCAAAAGACATTGCGCCAGATAAAGCGGCAATAATTAAGAGATGACGTCAATAGTTTTCCAGATTTATTCATTCCACCTTTATTTCTACAGGTTAATCCCATTCAGCCTCAGGGACTCTTTTACAAGAGAGGCCTGACCTTATTGATACGCAATCCTGAAATGCGGGTTCTCAATCAATCAAACCACTCGTCGGAATTTTCCGTATTGGTGGAAGTCCGTGCAGGTAAACAAAGATGGCGGACAAGAAAATGAATCTCATGTGGCCCATTTAAATGATCTCGACTCGGTTCTACCCCGTTCGGCCCAGCACAGGTTCAGTCTTTCCACTGAGTGATCCCACCCACGTTCAGCTGTTCTTAGAACCTACACGTCCGAGGTTCCAAGTGAGCTGAAGATTTGATGTCAGCAGACTGAAGAACGTTGATCGGCCAGAGAGTGTCTCCTTCATTGGCGTCAGAAGCATTTGTAATGTGGGAGGGGGACACTGGAGATGAGGGGTCTGGGAGTCCTCCCCCAGGAAATTTTGAATAAAGTAGATGCCATTTCCTGCATTCTGGTGTATTTTAACTGGTTGTTAAACATCTACATTTACCTACATAAGTAAACACTTGATTCAATAACTATTTTAGAGAGCAGCAAGAAGTAGCCTGACCAACAGCTCTTCTTGTGTGAATAGAGCACACTCCGCTTCTCTCATGCGTCCTAGACACCCCCCATGTCGAAAACTGACGGAACTAATGTAGCACTAAGCTAGCGGCATGCAATACAGACGCGTTAGCTAAGATACTACAGACTTAGTGCTCCGCTTCTCTCACACATCCTACCCCCCCCCCCCCCCCCCCCCCCCCCCCCGACCCAACCCGGTCAACAACTGCCAGCACTAATGTGGTGTTAAGCTAGCATGCAAAAGAGAGGTGTCGCCCCATCCTCCCCCTAGGAGCACCCTGCCAAGGCAGATGACCTCGGCGAACCAATGCATGAGGTGAGTTGTTGTAGGTGACCAGGAAAACCCGGAGTGGAATTTTAGTGGTTTGATTATTCTCCTAATAATCAAGTGGAATGGATTCATTCACAATGAAATACAAAGAGCAATGGGTGAACTAATATTTCATGGTAAATGTGTGTGTGTAAGGTTTTCGAATGATTTTTTTTTTTAATGTGGGGGTGGACACGTCCCCTTCACTTATAATTGTTGTGACGCCTATTGTCTCCTTCACAAGAATCCAACTCACCTTTTTCACAACTGCAGCAGTTGTTTTTGTTCTTCTCTCGGTAAAATTAATTCGATGCGTCTGTTAAAGTGCTGCTACGTAGAGGTGCGGAGGTTTTCTGGCTTTCTAGCTGACAGCAGAATTCAGATGGAGCCAAACCACTTGGACTTGATTTACAGACCCGGGGAGGAAAAAGTTTCCCTCAACTCGACCGAGGCATGTTTGGAATCGGTGGCTGAGAGTTTTGTGACTTTGTTTCTCTTTTATTTACTCGTTGGTGGTAAGTTTTGGGCGGCAGCGCTACATCACAACAAGACAACACTCATATAAAACTACTGGGACCATGAAGGGATGAGTCAGTTGAGTTAGGGTGAAACGAGTCGCGCTGAGTCTGGACGTCGTAAAAACCACAATAGATTTGTGGATTCAGACCAGACAGTTTATTGTTTGACCTTATTTCACTTCGGCTGTTGCCATCTGATCCCAAATTTTGCTTACAAACTTTTAACTCAAGGACACATTAACCCCCCATATGATAAATATATTATGCGGATTTGTTTTTTACTTTAGGGAAGTTTCAACGAGCAGCTTTAAAACGACACGAGAGCAGAACAGGTCAGGGGTTCTTGTAGAAAACAATCCCAACCACTCAGTTTCTTTCCGTTTCTCCCATCTGACGCCCATTCGGTGGAATTACCGTGATGGCTGACATTTCAATTTGGAGGGGCCTGTCATGCCTCGTTTTCCTGCATTAGTCAAACCACATCTGAAGGTGAGCACGTCTGCTTTCTCCAAGTATTCTTTAACTAAGGTGTTACGGCACTAAATTGTCACAGAATGGAACTAAAGTTAGCTAAGAGCACAGCCTGAAGCGAGGGAGGAAAAAAATAAAGCTAATGCACATAAATAAGTATAAATTAGTAATGCGATTAGTCTCAAACCACAAAACACGGAGAGGTGAGCGTAATGCGTTTCTCCACTTGAACAGCCATCAATCATCGTAGATGGAGGCAGAGATCGAGACGTTACTGCAGGTAAGGTGTGCGAAGGAGCTCGGCTTGTAAATTATTTATTAAAACATTCCTCTTTACACCGCTCACAGCCAGAACACAAGCCTGGGCTTTCACCGATGCCACAAACGCACGCCTGCAGAAAAGATAGAAGAAACACGAGAAACGCAACAAATAAGACGGAGAAGACGCGTTTAAACCTGCACTGAACATCTGAGTTATATGCTGACTGTTTGGTGCATGGCGACGAGATGTGCTGAATGAGGCGTATTGTAAATTTCCTGGGTGTAATGTGTTTCCATTGGGGGCATTTCAATCTCCTCCTCCCCCCTGAAGTCATCAGCTCTGCTGGGCGAGCACACCCTCCGCTGCTCTGCTGATTGCTTTTCATATGCATCATTACGTGCCGCGTATTAACAAGACGAACAAACTGTTTCATATACAATGTTGTGAGAAAATGGATCTGGTGTGGGGGGTGTAGCACATAGATAAGGATGCAGAAACATAAAGGGAGTGGAATATTTAGTGTTCTATATGTTCATAATATCTGTGCACTAGAAAAAAACATTTTTATTTGTCACAAAGAATCCAACTTGTATTTATAAATCCAAATCAAGGTTTAATGTATAAAATATCAGCAAATTATTCAAAATAAAAGCAACAGGCTAAAATGGTGAAGAAGACATAATGAACATGACCCAGTGAGGCTGATTCCATCTAACTGTGTGAGTGCAGATAATCATTCACACCGAGATCCAGTTTTTTATGTTTTTGAGCACGAAACTCGTTCTTGAAGTCATAAATCAAAAGGTTCAGCTCATTCAGGACATTCCTGATATAACTTTTAATAAGTTTTACTTTTTTAAATGCTTAACTTTGTTGGCCATATATTTTTTTTTTTATTGAAAATAAATAAAGCTCTTCTCCTGACGGTTCACTGCTCGTGTCAGATTTTGTTCTGGTTCAGCTTTTTCTGCTCCTTTCAGCATCTTCATGCTGATTTCTGCTTTTTTATTTTTTTCAGCTTCTTTCTAATTAAAGTGTACTACTACTGTTTCTACTGATTAAATGGCTATGGGTTGGGGCCGGGTCGGATTATTTGGGCTTGAATGCAACTCTGGTGGGAGGAAACCGGAGTACCCAGAGGCATGCACGGAGAGAACATGCAAACTTTACCCAGAAGGGCCCCCAGATGGGATTTGAACCGGCGACCTTTTCATTAAGAGGCAACAACTCTACCATTTGTGCCACCCTGTTGCCCCACTTTCTGCTAAATTCATCTTTTTCAGCAACTTTTTTCTGCTCATTTCAGGGTTTTTTGTTGCTAACTTTTGTTTTATTTTGTAATATTTTCACCTTATTCTGCTCATTTCACCTTATTCTGCTTATTTGTTACATTTCTGCCCAACATTCAGCTTTTTCTACACGTCTGCCGTTTTTCTGCTGCGTTCCATTTCTGTTTTTTCCTGTTTTCTGCAAACAGCAACTGTTTAAATTCCACTCGCAGGAACAGTTTAGCGATGAAACATTCTCAGCCTGGTTTCAGCTTCATCTTTCAGGAATAATCTTCCAGCTGTAAGAACTTGCACAACATTTTCACGGGAAATGCAACTTCTCTAGACTTAAATCACACGTCTGCCTGAATGCAGCCTCACAAACTCAGTTTTAGTCTCTTGGATTTGCTACAAGCTTCAGTTAATTCAGGAAACGCTTCATAAACACTTTCTTTAACAGTAAACACATTGATAAGAATATGACTCGATTAGCTTTTAATGCTTTATGTGCACAATATAAACACGTACTCTAAATACAACAGCGCTTATTCTCTTCTAATTATTACATTTGCTTAAGATTAGATTTTGAAAGGGCAAGATTAAAAAAATCTATTTGTTTTCCTCCAGATTGTAAAATGCATAAAAAATGGCATAAATCAACTTCAGGGAGGAAAGCGAGTAAAGAGGAAAGTTAATAGATCTTCATCTGGACGTGACAAACTGGCAGGAATATTCTGCACATCATTAAATCCTGTAAGTCTGACGTCACAATATAAAATGATCAGTATTCAGTCCGTGTCCCCGGGTGAACCCACGGCATCATCCACACTCTGCAGTGACTCATCAGCACAATCAATAGTTTCCAATTTAAGAGTTTGGAACGTTGAAACTTTCAGCCCCTGCAGAACTTTGCTGTTACTAATTTGTCACAA